AAAAAAAAAAAAAAACACTTCTAGTCAGAAAGAAAAATTAGCAACGGTCACTTCATCACTATTTTTCACACATGCTTTTGTTACCTTTTTTTTTTTGGCGGGGGCTGGGTTTGAACCTGCCACCTGTGGCATATGGGGTGGTGTCCTACTCCTCTGAGCCACAGGCACCACCCCCATGCTTCTGTTATTAATGTTTTATCCATCTTCCTCAAACCAAAGTTTTAGCATCACTGGGCCTGATTTCTTGCCATTATATGAAAAAAATTTTTCATGTACTATGTTTATGTACAAGGACAGAGCACTTTAATTAGTTTTAGTGATATAAACATAAATGAGGAATGGCTAAAACTAGCCTTTTCTCATTACATATGTATATAACAATTTTGTAAGTTAGGATGTTGTTATGGTTTACCGAAACTTCAAGATTCAAGACCAAATAAATATGAGGTACAGAAATTCTGTAATAGTCTCCTATATTGAAATAAAACATACATGTAAATATTTTATCAAAAAATTAAGTATCTTTAAATTGGAATTTCTTCCATTTTTATCTATAGGTCTGCATTTATTTTATTATTATTTTTTGCAGTTTTTGGCCGGGGCTGGGTTTGAACCCACCAACTCCAGCATATGGTGCAGGGTCCCTACTCCTTTTAGCCACAGGTGCCACCCTATAGGTCTGCATTTAGAAAAAATATTTTATAAGTGCCACAAACCAACTTTTCAAAAATAAACAGTTAATAATCCAACATGCTTATCACTCAGCCTATACTAAGAAAACAGAAAAAATACCAGATAAGTTAAGCAAAAATTTTAATGATTAAATTCTGCCTTCTCTAGAAGGCATAGTACTTACTAGCAGTAGATTTATGGCACAGATGCTGATTATCTCTTTCCCAGAAAAAGAGAATATTTTTTTATTTTTTTCTCTGTCATTCCAAAAATTATCAGTCCTGAAAGGTTTTGGCAGAGTAGCTGAAACTTTGTTAGTTGTCTAATTACCACAAATTGTAAGCAAAGGACTTGTTAATTTTTTTTTTTTTTTTTTTTGAGACAGAGCCTCAAGCTGTCCCCCTGGGCAGAGTGCCGTGGCATTACAGCTCACAGCAACCTCCAACTCCTGGGCTCAAGCGAGTCTCCTGCCTCCGCCTCCCAAGTAGCTGGGACCACAGGCGCCCGCCACAACGCCCGGCTATTTTTTGGTTGCAGCCATCATTGTTGTTTGGCGGGTCCGGGCTGGGGATTCGAACCCGCCACCTTAGGTGTACGTGGCTGGCGCCTTAGCCGGTTGAGCTATAGGCGCCAAGCCGGACTTGTTAATTTTTGAAGAGCCTCAAGATTTTGCTCGTTGTCACCATAATCCTTTTATCTGGGAAATGTAGGCCTCATGAAAAGAGACCTGTAAAATGCCACATATGTTTAAGGCATTTAACCATTAGTAAAATGCCAATTTCATCAATATAATGCACATTTATACATTTTGACATCTCTTAATAGTCAATGGAGCCTTAAGCACCGACTCTTATTTTAACTGGTAATTTTTTTTAGTAGTACAGAAAATAATAGTACCTCTTACTATAAACAACACCTTAGGATTCCATGAAATACAGCAACTTTGTCTCTCGGAATTACAACTGTCAAGCCAAAAAGATAATTAGCCCAGTATCTCATTTTACAGATAACGAAAATGAAAATCCAATATAAAATGTCCCCGAAGTTATAAAATCAAGAGCAAAAAGAGACTGAACCCAGGTCTTCTGGCTCCCAGTGATGCCCTTTCCATTACACAATCTGCCTCCTGAAGTAACATCAGATGCAAAAAACTACCTGGGTTTAACTAACAGATAGGATACCTAATACATACAGACATGTGTATCTACTATATATACCTATAAAGCCCATCACTCCGCAGCTCTATGTGGTTATGGCTTGTCTCAGACTGACTCAAACGTAACAAAGACAATTTAAAAAACCCAGGTACTTTTGTGTATGTTTGTGTATATGTTTGCCTTTGATAGTATGTACAATAAACTAAACTGACATTTCCGAAGTGAGAGCTTCCCTTCAGATAGAGACTTTACACTGTGCATTACAATGACTCACTACAATCCTACTTGCGTTTTCTTTTTCTAGGAGAGAAGAGACCCCCAAGGAGAATTACTGGCCTACCTGGAGCCTAAACTCAAGACTGTGCACTCATTTATCAGCACGAGAAACTTCGCACATCTTTTCCAGTCTAGCAACTACACAATTCACAGGTGGTTGGTATAACATCTCTTCATGTAGGGAAAACTAAAGGAATCCAACGAACGCAGTGACTCCCGCAGTTAGTTTGTAGGACTCACAGGGAAACGACAAGACCGAGGAAAAGGTACCCGAGACGACGACGACACATTATCTGGGCTTAGGGGGCTGAAGGACCAGAAGACTACGAAAACAAGCATAGCAGGAAAGGCCGGTGGGCTGTGACTCGGCACTCCCCCAAGGTCCCTTCGCCCACCCGCGCCATCCCCCAAGTAGGAGGAAGACAGAGGTGGGCGCTGGGCTGGTGGAGGCGGGGAATGGGGGCCGCCGGCGGCCGAGGCTGCTGCGCTCGGCGCCCGCGGGAGGCCATTTTAGCTCTGGGGCCGCCAAAGGCCCCCGCGGCCCTCGGCGTCCCTAAACCTAAGCAGTCTCTACCTCCCCGCCCCCACAGGGGGCCGCTTCGGGCGGGGCGCGGGAGGCCGCGGGGCCGGGCCTGCAGCGGACGGGGACCGGGATCGGGGCCACCGGGCGGGGGATGGCGCGGGGGCATCGCGCCGGCGGCATCCGGGCCGAGGGGCAAGCGGAGGGAGAGGAGGGGGAGAGCCGGGAGCCGTTACCTATACTGGGCCGCAGCCGCCGCCGCCGCCGCCCCGCTGTGGGTGAATCCAAAGTAGTTGCCGGTCGCCATTTTGGCATCTTCCCCCAGCCGGCTGGGCACTGCGGCGGGCGCCGAGAGTCAGGTCCCATGGCGGGAGGAGAGACGCGGAGGGGCCGACACGCCGGGGAGGGAAGGGGAAAGAGAGAGAGAGAGAGAGAGGCGCCGTGAGAAGCCGCCCCGGAGGGGCCCGGGCCGCGGCCGCCTCCCCCTCCCGCCTCGCACTCCCTCACTCACTCGCACGCCCCGGTGGCGGCCGCCGCCTCCTCCCCGGAGCCAGCCCCAACCCCCGCGCCTGCCCGCTGCCCCGGGCCGGGGAAAAGGCCAGGCAGAGGCCGCGCGGGCCACATTAGACTCACCATAGGTGAAAGAAACTACAGGGCATATGGGAATCATGGGCTCGGGCTGCTGCTGCTGAACTCTGAACTCTCACCCGCTGCCTCCCTCCTCTGCCCCGCTCCTCCTCAGCGGAGAACAGACCGCCGCCTCCGGCTGCACTGCGCAAGCGTGCCCGCGCTCGGCACCCTGGGACGTGTAGTCCCAGCCGCCTTCGCAGCTCAGGCGGGCGCGTGCCGAGGCCCTGGGCGGTGCAGTCGCGGGTACCCGGAGGCCAGCCGGGAAGGGCGGGTTTGGCCTTCTCCCAAGTGGTAGCGGCCTGGAGCCGCTGCACGACTTCAGGGGTGCGTGGGAGGAGCGCCTTGTCTGGCCAGAGGGGAATCGGAGAGTGTGACCAAAGAAAGTGACGTCTGATCGTCTTTTCTCTTTACTTTTCACTCATTCCCTCCACTTTTGTGTATGCATTTGCTTGCTGCTTTTCTGTCCTCCTCGCCCGTTCGTTTTTCATCAGAGTTTGAGCTGGACTAATTAAGATTTTGCCTTATTTCCCTCATTCCCGTTGCTTTTCCCCAGCCTCTGAAGTGCAGAGGGAGAGAAGGGGAGGAGAGAAAGAAAAAGAACGCAAAGTGTGCTTTTCTGCTGAAGACACTCCCCAACACCCCTCCCGAACACACCTCTTGCCACACCCTCCTCCCTTCTTCCCCCCCACCCCGCCCGCCTGCACCCAATCTTTGAGTCTTTCATCTTGTTTAGAGCCCCACAAAGTGTCGGTTACTGTTGTGTGGATGGAGCAGACTACTAAACAAAGCCCTTGTTCACCCGAGATTTACGATATTCTAGGAGGGGGTTAAGTGTCAGTCTATAGTCAAAACATAGAAATTCTTGTGGGTAGTGATTGGAGCTTCAAGAATAAAGCAGAATAAAAACAATAAGGGAAGTGCTATTTTATGTAGAGTGTGGTTAGCGTGAGCTCTGGAGTAGAGCATTGAAGCCCGGTAGATGTCGGAGGTGGGGGTGGGGGTTGCAGGGCAGCCAGTGGAAGGGTCCTAACGCAGGAACGTTCAAGAGCAACCGGATCAGTCTGGCTGGAGCTGAGTGAGGGGGAGAACAAATCAGAAAAGGGCTTGGTAATGGTGCCTGATCTTTCTGGTAAAGAAAGAATAATACTCTTCCCCGGTGCAAGCATTTCATTCTTCACTCTGCTTTCTCACTGTTTTTACTTTCTTAGTTAATTTTCAACCATTCTCGTTCCTCTCGAAGGCCCTCTTCTTTTTAAAAATTTTTGTTTGTTTGTTTTAGAGACAGAGTCTCACTTTGTCGTCCTCGGTAGAGTGCCGTGGCGTTACAGCAACCTCCAGCTCCTGGGCTTAGGCGGTTCTCTTGACTCAGCCTCCCGAGTATCCCAGCCAGCTGGTGGATCTGGGGGTTGACCGGCTGCCTCCGCATTGGCATTGTTGGTGCAGTGGCAGTAGGCAGCTGAACCAGCGGGCTGGAGGGTGGGCAGGAGGTCCCCATTTCCTAGGCCTGGGAATGAGAGGCCATTCATTTGTGACCCAGACATGTTGTTCCAGACATGTCCCAGACGAGATATCCCAGACATGCTAAATGCAACCACCAAGCCCTGCTAAATGTTACTGAGCGCCAGACATGTCCCAGACCTGCTAAATGTAACTACTGAGGGCCAGACATGTCCCAGACAGATGTCCCAGACCTGCTAAATGTACTACCAAGCCCTGCTAAATGTAACTACTGAGGGCCAGACATGTCTAGACAGATGTCCCAGACCCCCTAAATGTAACCACCAAGCCCCCTTAACTACGGGGGGCCAGACATATCCCAGACATGTTGTTCCACACATGTCCCAGACACGATGTCCTAGACAGGCTAAATGTAACTACCCAGGGCCCCATGCAACTATATATACCCCTAGACAAAGAGCCTACAAAGAGGGAGAGAGAGAGCACTTTTCTCTCCTGACTCCAGTTTTCTCTCTGCCGGGAGCTCTGGCACTTCTGTATTCTTTTCTGTAAATAAATCCTGTCTTACCACTTATCTGTGGTCCGCGGATTCATTCTTCCAACCGAGACCAAGAACCTACTGAAGAGCGAAATTCTGGT